ATTGATGAATACTCTGATCGACAGAAGGTCAAACTTAAAAATAGAAAAACTCACATCTGCTTCGTTGACTTTCTGTCTAATCGAAGTCTCAACAGAAAAAGCTAGTCTCAAATTCCAATTCTTCGCTTTCAATAGAAAATTAAAAAGCTCATTTCTGATTGGTTGGACAAATAAACAAAATACGTGCATATTTTTCATGCAGCATCCTTCTTTTGGTAAAGTGAATATGTTATTTTCTTCTCTCCTAACTAAAAGAAAAAATTATAGGTAAAAATACAAATTCTAAACAGACGAAACTGAATTGCATTCTGTGAGGGTGAGTGTGGGTTATTCTCCATTGATCATCCATATCCTAAGTTGACAAAAATATAGGATATATAAATGTTTCAGTGTTCATGACTACCCATATCGATGGTGGCTGTTCAGTCGACTGATTTACACTGATAACTATAAACAATAATACATGTTGAACGTGAAGTATTGGTATGGATATGAATATTCTCTAAAGTGTCACAAACAAGATCCATATTCTTGTGCATACTCTATTGCGAAGGAGCTCCCTTGTATACGAATTTGTCTTTCATTGTTCTGTTATCTTCAATGTTTCAATTTTAATAAGTACAATTTCTCTTCACAAATCTGACAGTTGAAAGACAAATAAAAAGATTGCTTTCTTTCAAAAGTAATAAACGATTGATTCGATTCACTTTTAACTAATATCCACATGTATACCTCCCAACTGTATTCATCAGAACATAGTTATTAGGAAAATCTTTTCAGAAACTACAAATCTGAACTTGGCTCTACTCTATTAAAGAATCTAAAGAGAAATCTCTGATCAAAATATTCTTTTTTCTTGCAAACAAACTTTCGCAATGATTTTTCATCGCAATAAAAAAGGTCAAACATTGTTCCTATTGCAAAAATAAAGGACACAGCAACCAAAATTTTTTATTCAAATTGATTATTACAATTGATTTTCTACATTAATTGTTTGCATAAGAAAATGATTCTTTCTTCTAACTGATTTAGAATTCAATTTACTAATTTGATCAAATGAATATCTTTTGTAATATTCTTTTATTTTTGTTACTAATAAATTGTCTATATATCCACATCGAAGAAGAACAGTGGAGTGTCAGATTCAACAAAATATATACAAAGAGGTTCATATAAAAAACTCAAATTGGATTTCTTCATATTGAAATACTGACGACTTACAATTAGCAATTCATATAAGTAAGATTTCTGCATTAATGACAATTTCAAGTGAATTGAGGGAATTTTCACAAATATTCTTTAAGCATCAATATCAACTTAGTCTATATGTATATTCTTCAGGATGTAGCTATGGTGCATGTCAACAAAATCGTCAGGTAAAAGTCTTTATTGTTAAAATTTTCTCGTAAAAATCATCAGAAAGATATTATTTTCATAGGGAGATGCTTGCAATTTTCTTTAAACTATTTCGATTAAATTTTTCCTCTGTCTTTCAAAGACTCGTTCATACTTCCTAATATATGGTTCCTACGAAAATTCTTTCACACTAATAGAATGTTGATACATGTTTGTTAAAATTTTTTCCTTGAAAATATATCAGAGAAATAAATCATTTATTTAATAACTACAATGATTGAATTATTTCAAACCACCTTATGTGAGATAATATTATAGGAAGAATTTCATTTGGCAGATTTTGTAATGTATAACAATTTAATTATCTGAAAAGTAAATTGTTTTCACAATGAAAATTGTCATTATAACAACATTTACGATTAATGAGAAAAACAATATATGGTTCATGAATTTATTTATTATTATTATTACGCATATATCTTTTATAAAATTAAATATTTGATCTATAGATAATTTTATTTCTAAAAACGATATTATGAAAACCCTGAACATTCACATCAGATCGAAATATAGAACATACCAAAAATAGTGTGATGATAAATATGAATAAAACTAATATAAACTATTGCTCAATCACTTAAAATCTATTCATTTTCGAATAACAATCATAGGGTTTTTAGAAAAGTAAATATTATGAAAACCAAAGGAAGTTTTTTTTACCTTTCGAATAATTTGTATCAGAGAGAAACATCATTGGAAAACGATGAAAACATTCATATAATGGTCTATTACTATGATGAAATATTATATTGACAAGTTTATTTTTATTTAGATTTTTTTTTCGTTTCTCAAGTTGATATTTATAAAAACTTTCTTATAATTGTTTCTTTTCATGATTCAATATATATAAACAAATAACCAATACAGTGAGATGAGAAGCAATTATTCACTTAATTCTTGTAACAAGTGGTGCGCTGTTCAAATAAAAAGAAAAAAAATTTCACAGAACAATTACGAACATGGCATCTCTACTGTGTTTACACCTAACATTAAATTAAGTTCAAAAGAAAGTAGAACGTGTAAAGACGATAGTGGTTATAGTATCTAAACTTAATTCACTGTTTTGTTTTATATTTTGATATGAATTCATGGGTACTGAAGCATGTACCTCAGCATTCGTTTTTTTTTCATAATATTCCCAATCATGAAATGAACAAATCTAATATCGAATAATATTATTAGCATTGAAAATAATTTTGAGAGTTCCATATTCATGATATTTCTTTGAATTAGTTAATATAATTTAATATATATATAAAGAATCAATTATGCAGATCGTTTATTGTTTGTTATGTATATTATGCAAAAAAAAATGTTTTAAATATGTCAATATCTCATATATTCTTACAATGAGAAAATCACATTTTGTAAAAAAAATAATAGAAATCAATCTTCTAGATTTTGATAAATTTCCAAATTCTAAGCATCAACATTCTCAATGATAGTGACACTAATACGTTTAATGAATTAGTTTTTGTAATCGAACGAGAAGTTTCCATTAGAAAGAACTCAAATTGATGAATTAACTTCTCTTGGATCCATAGATCAATATGAACCATATGAAAAATTACTTTTCGATTCAGTGATCAATTTTTAACTCGAAATATTATCAATATTAAGTTTCGAAACAATTTTACAAAGTACACTTTTAAAAAAATCACTTTCCATTTGTTCCTGCAAGAAATTATTTAATGAGTTTGTTTATGTACGTGAAACGAAGAGTTTCTTAAAATCTTTATGAAACAGAAAAAACAGACAATTATTCATGATTATTTTCGATAATATTATCGAAGAAATTATAAAATATAGTCAATTCATTGGTCTAAAATACTCTTTACGCGGGCAAGGTTTTCAAAGTGACGATATGAGCTGAGCATGTCGGGTGTTATTTTAAATTGTCGAGTACCATTGGCACTAGGTCGTAACGGAGTCAGATTTTTTAATGTCCCTCCTTTTGATTTTGAAAAAACTTTTTCGAAAAATTCTCAAATCTGCCTTCACAAAAATTGGTAAAGAAAAACAAAGATCTAAGTTTTTTATTTCAGCAAAAGTGAAATTCAAAAATCGGGCTCTATTATCACATCGCCCTAACTGTCTCCTATATAACGAAAAAAATTATCATTTTTATATTACGTCGTTATAAGAAAGATGTGCACACGCAAACGGTACTATCAAAAAAACTTATTTTGAGAAAAAAACTAAATAGGTTTTAGAAATAGATCTTTATGAATCACACCTGTATTATATGTGATCTCAATATTAAGTATTAATAGTCTCGTAATGATTAATATAAAAAAAAATCTTGAGAATTTCTCGAAAAATATGACAGTAGGAGGCAAGTTTTGAGATGATAAGTTCGTCAAAATCAATTCATTTTGCGATAGGCCACAAACGTCTAAGGGAGAGCTTTCTTAATGATTTGACAGAAGTCATAAATAAAGTTGTTGATGAGTTTAAATTTATTTTAATATCTAAATCACATTGATGATATTTATATTTTGTATGAACAAAGGATATTTAAATTTTTACACGAAAATTTATATAAAAGCAAAATTAGATAGATTTTTTGTTAAGACAAGTAGTCAAAGGTGAATAATCTTTTAATTCGCTGGTACTGTTAGAGTACGAACTCTAGCTTAGATAGAGACTGTAGTAGAACATCGAATAAGTCATTTTTGATTATATTATTGATTCAGAAGTTCTTTCTTATCCAAAACAGTATCCATGAAGAGAAAGTGAAAAATAGATGCAGTAGTGAATTATAGGTTTTATGATGCATAGTGTTTACAAAGTTTTTTGTTTTCGTACTAAAATTAGTAATATCATAAATCCAAGTGAAATATTTGTAAATAGTAATTTAGTTTTGAAATACAACAATCATTGATTGTAGTATCTATTTCAGATTGATGACCGTATTAACCATTAATGTTTATTTATTTCAATAAAAATTTGTCAATCGATTTATATTAATTCTAAACATCAAAATAACTTTGAATTCTCCAATGGATAGATGAAAAAAAAACATTTAACGTTTTAATATGTTGAATTCCTTCTAATTCCATATGAACAGATTTAAATTGATTATTCATTGATGTTGGTGATTGAAAAAAAATATTCTATCAGAATGTTGAGATTTATCATTATTAGTCATATTTAAATTTAATTCAGGATCAAACGTATATGTTTTTTCAGGTCTTTGATCTGTCATTTGTCATTAATCATCAAGTTTAACTATAATGAGAATTCTAAAAAGCATGTATTATGTGCTTATCGATTTGTTCGAAACAATATGATCATGTATTTTCATCAATAAAAGCAATAAACAGGTCACTATTACTTGAGTTTTTATATTTTATCTATAGATAGATAGAACTTCTTATGAATCAGAAGAAAAACACGATTCATCAAATTTTTACTGCAGTTTTTAGTATTTTTTAGGGTTGAATTGATCCATTAATCATATAATGTTAATGGAAATGTTTCAACTTGTTGTAAAAGAATAACATCAGGTTTTTCTCTAATATTGACAAATTAAATTTTATTTAATGTACGTACCGAAGTAAAATCTTCATCATAGTTTATGTTCATTGTTCAATTAAATCATTTAATTCAAGTTCATCACAATATGCTAATTTAAATTTTTCCAATTTTACCTCAAACAAAAACAAATTTGATTGAGTATGTTCCTTAGCTTCATCAGTACCACTTGCTTTAGCGAATGTCATGTTAATTTTTGACAATGAACTATCATTATTATGATCAGATCATTTTTCATCTTCGTGTTCATTATCGATTATTTGAGAATTATCTAATTAAATCGACATCGTACTTCTTCGTCTTACACAATAAAGAACGAAGTCGCTATTGATAACATATATATCGCGATACTTTTCCGATAACCTTGAGTGAAAATTAATTTTGTTTTTTTTTTGAACTAATATATATATGCCAATATTGATATTGAACGAATATTTATACAAATGAGTATAAAAAATAACGATAAAAAAATATTAACTGAACCATCTATGAGGTCAATGTTATGCACATATCTTTTATTAATCTCTTTTCTATTTTATATCATTAACTTTTTCTCGCACTCCATAGACTGAAAAGTGAATAATTATAAAACATAGTTCCTCTAATGATTACAAATATTAATTCCAGTTATAATCCATACAACAGTTTTATGTAATAGAGTGAGATTCTTTTTTTATCTAGAATAAAACTAAAATGTACATCGAATTCAACAATTTTCTGTTACATCTCGAACAAGATGGTGTACAAAAAAAAGTACTATCTTTTTTTCTTATAAAGTATATTTAAAATTAAACATTGATATTCATTTCCACATTGTACGCATCAGAAAAGAAAACATTCAACAAATTTTCATTTCACATATAATATAAGAGAATTAAAATTTCAAATAATATATTTATATTTGATATCTTTTTTTTCCTTTCCTTTCATTCAATCATCATTTATTTGACTGCATATTAAGCGCATGACATATCAGTTGCTCTCACACATTCAAGATCACAAAACTTAAACGAAATGAACATGAAATGTTTAAAGACGAAAAAGATATCGTGCACTCAATGTCTTTAGGTACGTGTAAAACACCGTTTGTTTTCATACGCTGCGTAGTTTCAATTTCGTTACGTCAACGTCGTCTTTCATTCGCGTCTTTCCATTTTCGTACCTTTTTCTTCTTTTCTCTTCCGCTTCTTCTCGTTCTTCGTAACAGAGAACAAAAATTTAAAACAAACGGAGCTTTCAAGGGTGACTCTAAATCAAATTAACCTTCTCAGGGATATCCGACGTTCTGTTGGTGATCTGTACAGACGTGCATATGGTAGGCCTTCATAACATACATTTAATGTATGTATGACTAGCAGCTTCCATCTTGTCACCGTCTCCTTGGAGGTGATGATCATGGATATACTAGTCATACATATATTAAATGTATGTTTGCCTAATCATTGCCAGCTTTGTCCACTGTACTAGCCAACAGAATACGGAGGGTATCCCTGGTCGTGCGTGCGCGAAATTTTGCGTTTGGTGCGGTTTGGCGAGACTTATGTTCAAGAATGGCAATTTATTTTCTCTTTTGAAAAGAACAAAAAAAGTTACTTTTTATTTTTCACAATGTCAATGTTTCTTTTCACAAGTGCAATATGTGGATGATTTGAAGGTAGTGATTTTTTCCAGATTTCTTGGGCTTTTTCGTAATATTGAAGTGCTTTGGAGTACTCGCGCATGTTTTCATATACCATACCAATGTTGTTGTACGAACTAGCCAAGTTGGAATGATTCGGAGGGAGAGCTATCTTCTTGATTTCAATTGATCGTTCGTACGATGAAAGTGCTTTCGAGTACTCGCCCATGTCTTTGTACACATTACCGATGTTGTTATAGGAAGCAGCCAAGTGGGGATGATTCGAAGGAAGAGCTATTTTCTGGATTTCAAGTGATCGTTCGTACGATGAAAGTGCTTTCGAATACTCGCCCATGTTATCATACACCATACCGATGTTGTTGTAGGAAGT